CATCCCATCCCATCCCATCCATCCCATCCCATCCCATCCATCCATCCCATCCCATCCCATCCCATCCCATCCCTGTTCCAGGATACCGGGCTCTCACGGAGGCTCCCGATGGCAGCCTGTGCCTGGCCATGGAATTCGGGGGGGAAAAGTCCCTCAACGACCTGATCGAGGAGAGGAGGGAGAAGGGCCTGGGCCCCTTCCCGGCCACAAACATCTTCCAGGTGGCCCTGAGCATGGCCAGGGGGCTCAAGGTACGGGGGGGCTTTTCCCTGGGATCCAGGGAATGGGAATAGCCATGGGATTGAAGGAATTCTTCCAGTCCCACCCACCCCTGCCATGGGCAGGGAGAGCTCGTGTTATTCCAGGGAATCCAAGCTGGCCTTGGACACTGCCAGGGATCCAGGGGCAGCCACAGCTTCTCTGGGAATTCCAGCCCAGCCCCTCCCCACCCTCCCAGCCAGGAATCCCTTCCCAAATCTCCCCTTTCCCAGTGGGATCCATTCCCTGGGTCCTGTCATTCCAGGCCCTGATCCCCAGTCCCTCTCCAGCTCTCCTGGAGCCCCTTCAGGCTCTGGAATGTGCTCCAAGCTCTCCCGGGATCCTTCCCAAATCCAGCCTGGCCATTCCCAGCTCTCCCAGCCTCTCCCTCCCATCTCTTCCCACTCTTCCCTCTCCAAATCCCTTTGGATTCACCCCTTGGGTCCCTGTGGTGGGAAAATCCCAATCCAGGTGGTTTTATTCCCTCTCCCATCCCTGGGGTGGTTTTGTTGGGACACATCCAAGCTCGGGATGAGCTGGACCTTGGTGTGCCTGGAATCGCTTCCCAGAGCATCCAAACCCTCTCCATCCCTGGAATTGTCCCAAGACCAGCTCGGAACAACCCGTGGATGGAACCAAATGATCCTTAATGGGGGGCAGATTCCCAGATTCCGGAGCCGTTCCCTGAGCGTTTTTTAAGGCCGAACACATGAAATATCCCGACGTTCCCGGCCTTTGGTGCTCCGTGATCCCGATCCAAGGGATCCAGGGGTTTTTTTCCTGCCTCCCCCCAGTACCTGCACGGAGAGAAGAAGCTGCTGCACGGGGACATCAAGTCCCCCAACGTGGTGGTGAGGGGGGACTTCGAGGCCGTCAAGATCTGCGACGTCGGAGTGTCCCTGCCCCTGGATGAGAACATGACCGGTGAGGAGAGCCTTATCCTGGGAATTCTGGGAATTCTGGGGTGCTCCTCTCACTGGAGGGTTGTGGAAACAAAGCTTCCCGGGGGGGTTAGAGGGTTGGAATTCCCTGGGAATTCCCGGGAGGGTTGGAGGGTTAAAATTCCCGGGAGGGTTAAAGGGTTAGAGGGTTGGAATTCCATGGGAATTCCAAGGAGGGTTAGAGGGTTAGAATTCCCTGGGAATTGGTTAGAATTCCCTGGGAATTCCCTGGGAGGGTTGGAGGGTTAGAATTCCCTGGGAATTCAGGACGGGAGGAATGTGGGCAAGGGAGAAGCTTTTAATGGGAATCTTGGGAATCTGGGAGAGTTAGAGTGTTAGAATTCCCTGGGAATTCCCAGGAGGGTTAGAGGGTTAGGATTCCTGGGAGGGTTAGAGGGTTGGAATTCCATGGGAATTCCAGGGAGGGTTAGAATTCCCTGGGAATTCCCGGGAGAGTTAGAGGGTTACAATTCCCGGGAGGGTTAAAGGGTTAGAATTCCTGGGAGGGTTAGAGGGTTGGAATTTCCTGGAATTCCCGGGGAGGGTTAGAGGGTTGGAATTCCCTGGGAATTCCCAGGAAAGTTCCCAGGAGGGTTAGAATTCCTGGGAGGGTTAGAGGGTTAGAATTCCCTGGAAATTCCCCGGAGGGTTGGAATTCCCTGGGAAATTCCCGGGAGGGTTAGAATTCTCTGGGAATTCCCCGGGAGGGTTAGAGGGTTTAGAATTCCCTGGGAATTCCCGGGAGGGTTGGAGGGTTAGAATTCCCTGGGAATTACCACGGAGGGTTAGAGGATTAGAATTCCCTGGGAATTCCCGGGAGGGTCAGAGGGGGAGCCAAGGGCAGGAGGCAGTGGGACGGGAGGAATGTGGGGAAGGGAGAAGCTTTTAACGGGAATCTTGGAATCTGGGAGGGTTAGAGGTTTGGAATTCCCAGGAGAGTTAGAGGGTTAGAATTCCCTGGGAATTCCCAGGAGGGTTAGAAGGTTGGAATTCTTGGGAGGGTTAGAGAGTTAGAATTCCCTGGGAATTTGGGATGGGAGGAACGTGGGCAAGGGAGAAGCTTTTAACAGGAATCTTGGGAATCTAGGAGAGTTAGAGGGTTAGAATTCCCTGGGAATTCCCGGGAGGGTTAGAATTCCCTCCCCTGGGAGGATGGGGATTCCTCCACCCCGGGGGAGCCGGGCGGCCCCTTTTCCATGGAAAAGCGATTCCAGAGGGGTTTGTTTTCCCCTCAGTGAGCGACCCCCGGCTCTGCTACGTGGGTCTTGGGAATCTTGGGAAATCTGGGATATCTGGCACTGCCACAATGCCGGATTCCCACCCGGGGGAATGTGGGAAGGAAACAGTTCCGGGGCTCCTCCCAAAAGGAGCTGCCCTGGGAATTCCAAAGGCTTTAGGGGGAATGTGGGAAGGAAATAGGTCCGGGGCTCCCAAAAGGAGTCCAGGAATTCCCATGGAATTCTAACCCTCTAACCCTCCCAGGAATTCTAACCCTCTAACCCTCCCGGGAATTCCCATGGAATTCTAACCCTCTAACCCTCCCAGGAATTCTAACCCTCTAACCCTCCCGGGAATTCCCAGGGAATTCTAACCCTCTAACCCTCCCAGGAATTCTAACCCTCTCGGGAATTCCCAGGGAATTCTAACCCTCTAACTCCTCAAAAGGAGCCGCCCTGGGAATTCCAAAACCTTTTAATCCACGCGGCGGGAATGTGGCACATCCACGGGGCTCTGGAATGCGGGGATGGGAATCGCCCACCCCAGGGGAGCCGGGCGGCTCCTTTTCCATGGAAAAACGATTCCAGAGGGGTTTGTTTTCCCCTCAGTGAGCGACCCCCGGCTCTGCTACGTGGGCACCGAGCCCTGGAAGCCCAAGGAGGCGCTGGAGGAGGGCGGGACCATCACGGACAGATCCGACATCTTCGCCTTCGGCCTCACGCTCTGGGAGATGATGACCCTCAGCATCCCACACCTCCAGCTGGACGAAGGTTTGGAGGCTCCACATTCCCGGTGGGAGAGCCCTTTCCATGTGGGAATTGTTCTCAAAGTCCCGGCTGAGCCTGCCCTGGGACAGCCCTTTCCATGCGGGAATTGTTCCCAGTATCCCACCTGCCCCTCCCCTGGCTGTTCCCTCTCCTCCTGTCCCTCGTTCCCTGGGAATTGGGGACCTCCTGGAACTTCCTTCCAGGGAATTGTAGGAGTTGAGACAATCCCAGGATGGCACGGAATCCTTAGGGATGGTTCAGCTTGGAAAAACCCTGTGGGATCATGGAGTCCAACCATTCCCAGCACTTCCAAGGCCAGCACGGATCCGTGTCCCAAAGGCCACATCCACAGGGATCTGAGATCCCTCCGGGAATGGCGACTCCAGCCCTGCCCTGGGAAGTTCATTCCAGTGTTTAACCACAATTTCCATGTGGGAATCGTTCCCAGTGTCCCGGCTGAGCTGTGGGAGATGATGACCCTCAGCATCCCACACCTCGACCTGGGCCCCGACACCGGGGATGAAGGTTTGGAGGCTCCACATTCCCTGTGGGAGAGCCCTTTCCATGTGGGAATTGTTCTCAATGTCCCAGCTGAGCCTGCCCTGGGACAGCCCTTTCCATGTGGGAATCGTTCCCAATGTCCCACCTAAGCCTGGAGGGACATTGGAGGCCGTTCCCTCTCCTCCTGTCCCTCGTTCCCTGGGAATTCCCTGAGGACCCTCCACTTCCTGGAACTTCCTTCCAGGGAATTGTGGAGAGCTGGGACAGTGCCAGGATGGCACAGAATCCTTAGGGATGGGTCAGGTGGGAAAATCCCTCTGGGATCACGGAATCCAAGCATCCCCAGCATTTCCAAGGCCAGCACGGATCCGTGTCCCCAAGGGCCACATCCACAGGGATCTGAGATCCCTCCGGGAATGGCGACTCCAGCCCTGCCCTGGGAAGTTCATTCCAATGTTTAACCACCATTTCCATGTGGGAATTGTTCCCAATATCCCACCTGAGCCTCCCCTGAAGCAGCTGGAGGCCGTTCCCTCTCCTCCTGTCCCTTGTTCCCTGGGAATTGGGACCCCTGGCAGGGAGTTGTGGGGCGGGAAAAGGTCCCTCCTGATCCCTCTTTTCTCCAGGATGAACCCTCCCAGCTCCCTCAGATATTCCTGCTTCTCCAGCCCCTTCCCAGCTCCCTCAGCCATTCCCTGTTCTCCAGCCCCTTCCCAGCTCCCTCAGATATTCCCAGTTCTCCAGCCCCTTCCCAGCTCCCTCAGCCATTCCAGGTTCTCCAGCCCCTTCCCAGCTCTGTTCCCTTCCCTGCACATGGAGATGCTCCCAGGGCTGGAGCCCCTCTGCTCTGGAGCCAGGCTGGGAGACCTTTGGAATGGTCAGCCTGGAGGAGCATCCCGGGAGAGCTTGGAGCACATTCCAGAGCCTGAAGGGGCTCCAGGAGAGCTGGAGAGGGACTGGGGATCAGAGCCTGGAATGCCAGGACCCAGGGAATGGATCCCAGTGGGAAAGGGGAGATTGGGAAGGGATTCCTGGCTGGGAGGGTGGGGAGTGGCTGGGCTGGAATTCCCAGAGAAGCTGTGGCTGCCCCTGGATCCCTGGGAGTGTCCAAGGAAAGGTTGGATTCCCTGGGATAGCGGGAGGTGTTCCTGAACATGGAATGGGATGAGCCTGAAAATCCCTTCCCACCCAAACCAGTCTGGGATAAAGGACACTCAGGATCCAT